ATTGTACATTATCTTATGGCCAAATTTGCAATGTCCTATTTTTAAAATATTGATTTAGTTCATTTTAATATTTTCCTTACGCTATTTGATTTTCTTTATAATTCTTAACTTGCCAAGTTAGCACCATGACAACATGATATCTTGTATTTTCTTCTTTAAGTGATTATATATGTTAATCCCCTTTTATTAGTTAGATAAATCTAAGCATGATGCATACAACAAAGTCATCATTATACTACTACCCTGACTAAAATTACTTGACATTCTTAAATCGTTTGTCAAAGGATATTGCTTTGTTGGATATAAATGAAATAGAAACGTGAATGCAAACAATAGAATCAATTGCAGTAAGAAAAAAGTTTTGAAAAATAATGAAATTGGAAACTTAAAAGTATTGAGTGATAATAAACTAAAATAAAAATGGAGAATGAATCCTATTGTAATGTAGTCATCCAATTTCAACCCATCTAATGTTAAGTCAGCAATAATTTCCCAATACTATCAGTCAGTCAGCTGTTAAAGGTATGAGGGCAGTTATCACTTCCCGGTTGCCCAAACCGTGGAAGGGTTCTTCTAGAGATACTTGAAAAGGAAATTGGGTTAGAAGTGGTCTTAATGACCTGAGAGCGTGACCGCAGTGACCAAGGGACAACTGCTTGAGGTTGGTCATACACGACCTTTTTGTGGGGAGTTTTTGTGATAGCTCCGTACTTGTTGGGACCTTACCGTCGGAGACGGATATCCGTGGGATAAGGCGAGGTGTGCATTTTTGGGTAGAGCTTTTCTAACCCCACCCCTCCTTGTGGGAAGGCAGCATCGCTGTTATGCTGTTCGTCTGAAGGAAACACCTTACTGCTGTCACACCTCTGTAGAGTAAGCAGTATGACTTCGCGTTCAGACCTTGGGTTTGTTGCTTTTAGACTTACCGCTCTTCAACCGACCTGCCTGGCATGGTAGGACCTTGAGGAACGATTGTTCCAGCCAGTATAGCTCGATTAGTTCATCACGGTAGGCAAGGTAGCAGCAACGGTCGGATCTACATCTACATCGGGCTCTACATCTCTGAACATGGCTCAAACAGCATGGACTGATGCTGCATTATAGATTTAGTTGCCTTTAGCCTTTTTCCAACCTACCCCAATGGAACCTAGTACAGCATGTAGAGAGGGGGTTAAGTGTTTCAATTACCTAAGTTGATGAAAATTCACATCTGTACTAATTGCTTTACAAATGAATGTGTACCAACCTAGTAAATACGAATGTTATAATTGTAAAATGCTATTGTAGAGCAGTATAATTTCTGGTGGTTAGTAGAATATCAAACGAATTTAAACATTAGGACAAAATACATTGATTGAAATCAAGCATACATCTAGCCCTTAGCGCCAATTGAATTATATCGATCAAGTCTCAACGTCCCCACTAGTAAACATGATATTACAGTATGAACTATGTTTTGATTGAAGAAAGTTGGCAAGAAGCCTTATTTAACTTGAGTTTCGTGTTAACAAGGACTCATCAACACCGTATACCTGTGATCTTGATCAACTAATCATTATATAGTTGAGATCATGAGTCAATTGAAGCTAGACCAACATGGAAAACCTGGAAGCACTGAACAGTTGTTTCGTCCTATTGTGGGACTCACAATAGGTTCTGGGTTTGAATCTCATGAGGCGAAATCGAAGATGTGCACTACTGAGGAGTCCCACAATAGAACGAAATGACCGTCCAGTGCTTCCAGGTTTTCTATGGTGGTCTAGCTTCAATTGACTCATGATCTCAACTATACACAATTACTAAAATCTCCACAAACCCTCCTTCTAATCATTATATATATCACTTATTTTTAGTACGAACATTTACATCCACTTATACATAAGAAATGCATAGAAATAAATGACTTTTTTTATTGATTAGTTATGATTTTACATTCCAGTGCGTCATTAATAATACTAATAATAAAGTAAGAAATCATATGTGATAAGTTACTAAATCGGCTTTGAATTAGATAAAACTGTTTAATTGTACATGTTTTAATATTTAAACAAAATCTGATTAGTTAACAAAATATAGAAGAGAAATAATACAAGAAGTTATATATGACTTATCCTTAAGGGTTTGGTTTATAGATATTGATAGAGTATGTATTTCTATGTTGTTTATATTAAGAGCTACAGTTGACCAGTCTATAGCGACATATGTGAATTCTGAAAAGACTGCCGCCAAATGCCCTGGTGTGGCAGAGGGTGGAGAGAGTCAGCTCTCCATCGCCAAATGCTCTCACATGGTCAACCGTATATAGCCTCTACCAGGGAAGTCCTACTCACTGACTTTTCACACCACGGGTGTTGTTTATGAAATTGAGAGGATGAAAACGGAATTTCCAGCACATTAACCGGGTTGATGGAAACGGAAAGTCCACCTAGGGGAGTTGGAAAACCCTCATTCCAAACCAATGGTGCACATGGCTTAGCTCCAGTATCATGAGGGAACAAATAGCGTATAAATGAATCGTTGGTCACTGGCTACTATGAGACTGCATCTCCTCACGATGCTCCACTGCCTTGTAGATCAGATCTTTAGGTCAAAGGCTCACGGTGTAGCCCCTTAAGAAAACCACTTGCTTCGGTTTGGGCACCTGAGCAGTATCATAGCCCTCACACAATTAAATGAAATGACCATTTTTTGTGTGGCGCATATATATCTGGTGCCCCTTGGTACCAATATTTATGTGTTCAAACAAATAAATATTCTTTTCGATGCATACTGCCAGCAACCATGATGTCTCTGATTGGGCTGTTTTGTAACTTGTACAGAGCAATGTCCTAAACTTTTCACAAACGCACCTGAATAGGTTCCGCGACCAATAGGCATATTGATATGTTAAAACAAACAAGAAAACAGATAACTTGTTGAAAAATCCAGTTGGCAGGAACAGGTAGCTCAGATATTCAAGCAGGTCGCCTCATTATACTATAAGAGTACAACTGATTTCAATCTTAACACTAACCAGTAATGGTTATTTGAAGAGAAGAGTGCTTATATCCAAGTGATTAAAATCTAACTACTGCTTCTAAAAATACTGAATTTGAAAGTAGAGTGTATAATATGCTACTCAAAATCACAAAACTCATTAATACACATGTTTCATATATCACGTACGTGTTTATAGGTTAGTGACACTAACTGGTGGTAAGTAGCTTAAGTAACAATATGAAACTGTACGGTAGTGAAAAACAGCATAAGTGTAAAATACTGATGGTCTAGAGTCAACCAATAAGAATTAAAATGATACCTCATGTATTACAAGTGCAGTAATAGATAACATTTCATTATTAACCAAGTGACAAGTGCCAATATTCGGTTCTTAAAACGCTTAAAATCAATAAAAAATATCTGCAATACGATAAAGAAGAAGTGAATTTTAGGTTGTGCTTGAGTTAAATTACATAAAACACTTGCACCTGATGCAGATTTTGTATCAAAGTACTTCATATTGTTTATTGTAGTGATAATGGTCCACAGGTGGAGTTGAGGAGGCTCTAAGAAGCCCAGAAGGAGCCCGACATATTCCATCCAATCAGTTTTTGGAAGAATATTCTAGAATCACTACGTGTAGCTTCCCTATTGGACAATGCTGATAACTCCCTGTGTGCGGATTGCATAGCTATAATGATGATTTCGTTTCTACTAAAAACCATAAATACCTGACAGTTTTGTACCATAATCGACACTGTTTGGAATAACATTCCTTCTACTTATCTTCTGTCTTCTGATTTGTGACTTGGGAAGGTTCTAGCGTACGAGTGCTCAAGTATTACGCCACAGACTAAGAATCTAAGTTCGAGATATAACAATTGTGTAATCAAGTGTTTAATGAAGCTAGATAATGTTCTCCCTTTTTTACTCTCTAAATCTTAACCCTAAGTTTTATAAGTTTACAAACAGGAAGGTGACAAGGCATTACATTATAGCTGATGTTGGTTGGTGTTAATAACTATGAACCTAATTTGTAAACCTAACTCATAACCTTTTACCATGATCTCTAGTGTCAGTTGGTGACGAAAACTATATGGGGTGATAATCATAACTGATAACACTAGCCCGAAACCTAATATATATGTATATATGTAAACTTGCCTTTTTTCTTTACTACAAGGGATAATTTGACTTGTAAAGGTTAATTATTATGATCAAAGCTGTTATTCCACTGTTATTTCATTACTTTAATATTGCTAACTGTTTTATAACTATGTAGCGTCTCCTGATTGACTGATGAATCGCCAAGGTCGTCAGTACATTATATGTTTACTAAAAAAGGACTACCAGCTGATCAGATACCATTCAAATAGATTAGATAGAATGAAATGGTATTCAGCTCAAAAACCATATGCAGTCCCCGAATGCCCTGGTACGACCGAGAGTGGGGAGAGTCCGCTCTCTCTCTCCAAATACTCTCACATGATCATGTGCATACAACTACTTCCAGGGAAGTCCTACTGACTACCTTCTCATACCAGGGGTGTTGTTTGCGAAATTGAGAGGAAGAAAAGCGAATGTCCGGCGCTCTAACCGAGTTGGTGGATGTGGAGGATCCACCTAGGGGTGTCGGAAAACCTATCATTCCAAACCAATGGTGCACATGGCCCAGCTCCAGTATCCTGAGGGAACAAATGGAGTATGAATCAATCGTTGGTAACCAGCTACCATGAGACTGCATCTCCTCATGATGCTCCACTGCCTTGTGGATCAGACCTTTAGGCCAAAGGCTTGGCCTGTGGCCCCCTAAGAAAACCACCTGCTTCAGTCTGGGAATCTGGACAGCATCACAGTCATCACACAAATCGAATGAGATTTGTGCGGCGCATATGTATCTGGTGCTTCCTTGTATCAATATTTATGTGTTTAAATAAATAACAAATAAATAAGACAAATGGTTCAACGATGACAAAAAACGACAAGATATTGTGCAATTTAAATAAATAAATAATAATTACCGATTCAATATTAGTGAAGATCTTCTACGAACCGCTTCAAAAATACTTCCTCTACTACCAGTAACTGATGAAATTGATTGACGTTGTTTTTGTATATCCGGTTGTGATGATAATAATACTTGATCTTGACCAGGTTCACTAAATTTATTTTTAGAGAAAAAAAGGGATAAGAATGAAAAGTAAACACATAGCAACAACAGACAAAGCAACAATTTGGAGTAAACAATTTCACAACAATCGTCATTGAATATTTACAAAAAGACAACATTCATTTTGTGCACTTTACATAATATTAAGTGGAGACATGTAAACATACTGCTATACATTACAAATAAATAAATAGGTACTCATAAATTACAATTGAACAGCTTATGGAGATTAGTTCAAGTAGAAATGAGTGTCCATTATGAACTAACTACTGATACAAGTGTTTATTAACAGCTGTCTACGCAAGATACTTCGGATCCGATGGCCAGACACTATCAACAACAAGTTACTATGGGAGACAACAAACCAGATTCCAGTGGAGGAAGAAATCAGGAAGAAGCGCTGGAAGTGGATTAGGCACGCTTTGAGGAAATCACCCAATTGTGTCACAAGACAAGCCCTCATATGGAATCCTGAAGGCCAAGGGAGAAGAGGAAGACCAAAGAACACATTACGCCGAGAAATAGAGACAGACATAAGAAGAATGAACAAAAACTGGATAGAACTAGAAAAGAAGGCCCAGGACAGAGTGGGTTGGAGAATGCTGGTCGGCGGCCTATGTTCCATCGGGAGTAAAAGGAGTAAGTAAGTAAGTAACTGGGGAAAAAACAGAAAATACTAAAGTTGGAAATATTAACCAATATGTTTATGACTGATTGGCTTATCTCTGATCATTGTGCAGTCTAAGGTTCAATTCCATGGAAATTTCGTACTGTCAGTGTTCATCAAACAACAGTTAAAGTGTTGTTCGATGTCTTCTGGTCATTAATAGTTTGTAGAGAATACTCCACCTAAATTGAAGTAATCATTATAAACCACAAAACTAAACAACAGATAGAAAGATAAACTAAATACATCAAAAAGCTATAATTGATAGAACAATAACACCAACCATGATGTTGGATTAATGTCGCGCTATAAATATGAATGACTGATAACGAGAATCAAAATCATTATCTACTAACTCAGTGATCGTTATGTGACTTAAAAGTAGTGTAGTTCAACCACATATGAACTCGTAGCTGATGACTACTGAACTGTTCCTAGTGGTCTTTCATTTTCAATATTTCTTCAATTGGCTTCAGTTCATGATAAAAAATCACCTTCAAAATATGATCCGTTTAGTATGTAAAGTTTCAGCTATATAGACAATAGTATTAATTCATGAATGTCGAATATGATAACTCCGCCTGTAGCTCCTCCGGGGAGCTACTGTCGGTCCCAAGCCTGGATAAAGAAGGAGGATTGGGCATAGGTCTAGTGACCCCATCCCGTGGATACAAATAATAATAAAAATTGTGAAGAAAAATACTGAACACAAAGTGCTACATGACAGAAATTGTGAAAAGGATTTTTTTTAAAAGAAAAACATTGAACATCTTGATGATTACAACAACCATACACAGAAACTAATTACGGAGAGAACACATTCAGTGAAAAAAATTGAAAAAACAATAATTTTTTTTTGAAGAAAAGAAATACAATTTTCCCATCTAATCCCATAGACATAAGTGTAGAATTGGGACTTACTCATTAGGTGATAATGGTGTTATTTTAGGGATCAATCTAGAGTGATTTCAAATATTTGCCATTTATATAATACAATTGAAATAATGATAATATAAAGATAAGTGAAAATATAGACCCATGTAAAATGTTGTGGTTTCTTTATAAAATTAACATCCGCTCAAATGAATGCTTTTGCTAATACTACCGAACCCTTTTACCTTTATTTATTTATTTATTTGAACACATAAATATTGGTATAAGGGGGCACCAGATAAATATGCGCCACACAAAAAGTGGTCGTTTCATTTAATTGTGTGAGGGCTACGATACTGCCCGGGTGCCCATAATGAAGCAGGTGGTTTTCTTAGAGGGCCACACCCCGAGACTTTGACCTAAAGATCTGATCTACAAGGCAGTGGAGCATCGTGAGAAGATGCAGTCTCATGGCAGCCGGTGACCAACGATTGATTCATACGCCATTTGTTCCCTCAGGATACTGGAGCTGGGCCATGTGCACCATTGGTTTGGAATGAGGGTTTTCCAACTCCCCTAGATGGATTTTTCGTGTCCACCAACTCGGTTAGAGCGCCAGACATTCGTAAACAACAGTGATGCTACGAGAAGGCAGTGAGTAGGACTTCCTGAACACCGATTATCACAACGCGCTATGCTGACTAGTATTGGGGATGGTTGGAAGAGAGTTAGGGGCGGTCAAACCAAAACATGGCATCAGTGTTTGAAGTCACTAACTTCTAGTCTGAGCCATGTTGGTAGATGCAGACTACCTGGTTGGGGTCCACGTGACTATCAAAACTAATGGTTGGAGACTCTGGGTGACATGGCTCAGAATCGATCACAATGGAGTAGGTGTATACACTCTTTATCTTCCCTTAATCCTTGAGATTAAAATTGCTTCATAACTTTTTTCTTTCCTATACTATATCTTTATATACAACCTATCTTTTATATACTACTACCACCACCACTAAATTAACTATTACTATGAATCCGGTGTTCATCTTGTTGTGCTAACGAGATATGGCAACTTGGACCGATGCATAAATGTGCCTGGTACTACATTATAGCTGACTGACTGACTGACTGAGTAGGACTTCCATGGCAGAGGCTGTATACGCATGGCCATGTGAGAGCATTTGGAGACGGGGAGCGGACTATCCCCACTCTCAACCGTACCAGGGCATTTGGGGGCCCCCTTTTTCCTAATATTAAGGAAAACCAAAAAGACAACTATTTACGGCTGTAATCTTCTATTTAGAATTGTATATTAAGATAGAATAATGACTTTAGTACTCTAGAAAACAATTATCATTTTTATGATGTAGACTGTTTAATACACCATAACAGATCGTTGAATATTTCACAGACGATATTCAGTAGAATTTTTTTGTGACACAACAGATTAGCGAAATCAACAATGCAAATTATAATGATGTTGTTGGAATAAAATAAATCTCATCTTTTATTCGTCTAATTTAATTGGAATGAAGAAGCTAAATAAGCTTCATTTTCATCAACTATGATATTTTAAAAAATTGTTGTACTGTTCCACAGCTATGGTAAAAGAGAACGTTACTTTTGGAACTTTTGAGTTTTGACAAAAACCAAGAACAAAGAAGAACAAGTAAAAGATTGTATAACTAACATCATGAAACTGTTATTGCCGAATGCTTTAATCACTAAATCGTCTCCGTTCAATTTTTAAATGATTCAAACGATAGGCAAAGAAAAGCTAAAAATGTGTGATGAATAGTTACTATAAAAATTTCAGCTCTATAATTGATTGATCATCGGGTCGTGACTAATATCATGTTTATCTAGTTTTTTTTAGTGTTCATTTAATCCTATCGACGAAGTTGCAGTGTGGCTACTAACTTAAATGACTTAACACCACAGACGCTATTTTGATCTGTTAAGTGGTTTTATGCCATAGTTGACACTTGTCGCTAAGACGTACCTGTATTCTTAAGGGACCTGATGTTGCCTAGAGTTTCTTGTCGACTACCTCCAATCATCTAACTTCAAATTCCCAACAAGGTCATAATTTTTCTTCCAAAGTTCTACTGAAAGATAAAATGAAGCCAATCTAGAAAGTACCAACAAAACTCCAATTTGCAGATTTCTAATACTAATTGATCAGTGATTACTGACCGAGATCACTGCCCAAACCATATTAATAAATAAATTGAATTGATCAAGTTGTAATTTGGCTACTAAGTCTACGTAAATCACAGAGACCAATTTGAATGACATGAATGGAATCTCATAAAAACTGTGGATATGCCTTACCCCTGAATACAAACAGAAACGAAACCTTCTATCACTTGATGCTAAGTATATTTTTTATATATCTGTGAGTTCTATTCGTTTGACTTTTTATTAGTTTATTTTCTTACCATGGCCATTGAGAATAGAAGACATTTTTAGGTTACTAGTACTCGATCATGGGTGTCTTCGAAGCGTTACCCACATACTTTGGGACCACAAATTAGGGCTACTAGATAAACATAGGAAACTGATTGATGAGGTAATAAATCTTTAACTGAGGTAGTTTTGACCACCATCTACTTTGATGGGTGATGCTGTCTGGTGTAACAGTAGTCTGAAAAAAAAGCTAACTGTGGCCAAACCAAAACACGGCATCAGTTCATGAGGTCATTGAAAATTGTACCGAGTCATTTTTATAGATGCAGACTACCTGGTTGGGGTCCATATGATTATCATAACCAGTGGTTAGAGACTTTTAATGACATGACTCAAAACCATTTGCAATGGTGTAGGTGCATCCATCCATTGTATTACTTCAGATTCTAGGCTTCTGAATTCATGATTTTTTATTCCATTACTTTATATTTCCTTGAATCGTGTCTCCAGTATCTAATCTTTTTTATTACTACTAATGCTGTTCCTACCTCCACTACTCTGAGATTCGCTGAAACAATTTCATCTCTGTGCAAATGGGGTGTGGCAACTTGAACCAATGTACATACGTATCAGGTTCAACGCTGAGACTGATTGACTTCCGCACCACATAAAATATTAATTTCTCAATATTCTATGTTGTCATTAAACTATATGAATGTATGATTTACACAAGACAATCCCCTTCTAATTATAATCATATGCTCACTAGTGACTGACTTCAAGATATATGTCCTGGAGTCCTAGTGGGAAGCAGTGACCAGTGGAAACCAACCACGTGTGTTGTGAGATAACAACTCACTAAAGACAATTGGTGAACGGTCGCTCAAACTTCGTGGATTGGTTGAAGTTAGACATTAACACCGTTGGATGCCGGCACAATGCTGAATATCAGACAGAAAATCCATACTCTATACAAAAAGGCACCGAAATATGCTCCAATGGAAAACAAAAATACAAGTTGATGGTAATTCCAGTAATGAAACATTTACATTTCAATGGAGACAAAACGCCAATGGTACCACCTATATCATTACGATTCATTTTGAACTACATCAACTTTCAATAGATGTTCATCAAATTTAGACCAAAGAATTGAAATTATTTACAAATCAATATTCTATCCATTTCACTTTGATATGTTATCTACATTGACACAATTAAAAGCCCAACTGGTTGTAGATTTGGAAAATATCGTTATATTATGAAACAGACACACACACAGAGTAATGACTTCCGTCCTAGCAACTAATATATATATATATATATATATATATATATATATATACCAGGTAGTTCATGGAATATCTTTATTTGTTGTAATGTTAGTGAATATCATGGGTTGATTATCTACTTAGGGTCACATATAGATTGAATTATTATCCAACATTGTATACCATATGCAAATTCACAAGTTACAATACAACGTAATTTATTATCCTAGAAATATATATCAACAATATTTTTGAGATGGGAATGATTTGTTCATTCAACCTTGATGGAACAAATGAGCATGAATTTCCAAGAATAATGTGAATTTACTCAATCCAACTGACATTAATTAATACTGTAAACATATTGAAAGTAACGAATCTTTTCTTTTTATTGAAGGGGTTTGTTAGAGATTGGTTTAGTTTGTAGGTTGTATTCGTCACAGATTGGTCTCATTTAGGGTACAATTGAAAGCCAGGGAGAACTATACAGCTGTTTTGTTCTAATATGAGGTTTCCTTGGCAATGTGGACCCACGATCGTGCCAATGATAGGTTTTAGAAGCATCAGGTTTTGAAACAAACTCTTGACTGCTAGAACCATTTGGTTGAGGGCCAATCGTAAAATTCTAATTTCAATCAATTTACGTTATAGCGCGAAGATCAAGAAATGTCATTGATAAAAACTGTATCACTGTCTGAATTCCACTAGTCAAGGCTTTTACTAGAAATTCAGGAACGTCTTGAGTCAGTCATCAGTAAAGTGACTATCATAGTTTATAGCTAAAAGGGTTTCGTGAAAATTGGTTTACTGTGTAGGTTGTTCTCATTACAGATTGAGAAGTGGTGACTGATGAATTTTAGACATATTGATAGTAAAACAGCCGTTACTTTAGGAGTTCAATTATCGTCATTCTATATCACAAGTTGATTGGAGCTGAAATTGTATCACTGAATGCCAACCAAATGGTTCTACTGTTTAGTATTAACCTCGAGAATTGAACGTTTTCGGTCCAATCCCTAGCGAGATTTGGAAGCGCACTAATGAGTAGTCCCATACTGGTATGAAACAGCTTTCTAGCGACCTCTAGTAATTTCTGTCAGTATAACAACTTACAATTCGACAGAGTTGTTCCATGTATTACCTGGATCATACTCGTAACAAGTACAGGTGCAAATATACGAAGACTTTGTTAGAGTAAACCAACTTATTGTATCGAACAAAAACCACATATCGCATTTTTAAAATATGAAAACAACACAATAAATACACTATTTTCCCATATTCATTGAGTTGTCTCTTAAAAGCTCCATTGTTCTTCTATTCTTGTTGTCGTTCCCATTGCTTTCTGTTTTCCTTTCTCTTCTTTTCATTTTCCCCTTCTGTCTGTAAGAATTCTACTTTCAATTCCTCATGCATACTACATGTATTTGTCCATACAAGTAGTACACATTACACAAGTATTAGTCTCCTTACAAAAAAACGACGGTAAAATGATGACTAATAACTTGAAATGATAGAAGCATTTGATAGCCGCTTACATTGAATTAACACCATTGTAGAAATTAAACCGTTTAAACACCACACATCATAAATAGATTCGATTAAATAAACAAGAAACATATGGGTAGAATTCTAAACTATAACAGTTATTTTCTTTTCTTAAAAAAGAAAGTTAACTGTCTAAATTATAAAGTTTTAACATCGATGAGGGTCGTATTCAGTTTCATGTTGGCTAAAGAAAGATTTATGATGAGGAAAGAAAAGAAAATATGGTTCTATTCATTAGTTAAATAGGATACTGCAGCTGAATACAATTGGAATTTCGACAAACGAAAACAAAAACAAAAAAAAGAAAGTCTACTGTAATTAAAAGTCAACAGTTGTTATGTCCCGATAACAATAGTGAATGGTAAACTTTGGGATCCATTTATGAACCAATATTATGCATATATTTTTTTCGTATAATTGCTAAGTAACTAAACTATTCATATTCGTGTCCTCCTTATTATAAGCTTTATTTTGACCCATAGACTATTATTATACGATTTACCATTCTTGAGTTATCCCTAGTCTATTAATTGCTGCCTCCCACATTCACAGCCACACTTGGCTAAATGTTGTACAAATGTTATTTTTTATTTTATTGGTACAATGTGGTCAGTCTGTTTGGTATATAAACTCAGTATGTTTGAAAATATAATGAATCACATCGCAGAGGCTGTTCCGGACTTAACTGGCTGGGCTAGGCAGAAACAGGACCGATACTTACTCTAGACTGCTCGCATGCTTTCCGTGTGTCACTGTTCCAATCGATAATTCTCTGCTCTCTGATTGGCAGTCTTATCACGTCATCTACTCGGCCACTAGTTATAACAACAGTGAATATCCAATTTACAGAATATATATATGTAACTATGAACATATAACTTACCCAAAACTAATATTTGTTGCATTTTCATGATGTCCAGGAGCACATATATGATAAACCGTGAAGTTTTCGGTAATTACACGCATTTCAGGATTATTGAATAAACTAAGAAACGATGTATCTGTTTAAAATATACGTAGAAAGATTTAAATAATGGAAAATAAAATTTACAAGAGGAAAAAACGATGAAATATGATATGTCTGAAGTATTCCTTCATGAATTATTATAGTAATACCGTGATTATAGGACAGCCTCCAAATGCCCTGGTACGGCTGAGAGTGGGGAGAGTCCGTTCTCCCTCTCCAAATGCTCTCATATGGCCAGGTGTATATAGCCTCTACAAGGGAAGTCCTACTCACTGCGAATGTCCGGCGCTTCAACCGGGTTGGTGGACACGGAAAGTCCACCTAGGGGAGTTAGAAAACCCTGATTCCAAAACAATCGTGCATATGGCCCAGCTCCAGTATCCTGAAGGAACAAATGACGTATGAATCAATCATTGGTCACTGGCTACCATGGGACTACATCTCCTCACGATGCTCCACAGGCTTGTGGATCAGACCTTTAGGTCAAAGTCTCGAGGTGTGGCCCCCTAAGAAAACCACTTGCTTCCGTTTGGGCACCCGGGCGGTATCACAGCCCTCACACAAATCAAATGAGATTTGTGTGGCCCATATGTATCTGGTGCCCTTTGGTACTAATATTTATGCGTTTAAATAAAATAAAATAAATTATAGGACAAATGCTTAATTTAAATTTCTTGAATAGCTTAATAGTTATTCACCCTTTCTCATATACAAAACTATCAAGCCTGAAAAACATTGATGAAATCTAACAGAGATCAATAATTTAAGCATCCGTAAAAAAAGTGGAAAAACCATATCCCATTGTCTTCCTTTTAGTCCCTTTTCTTTTCACTAACAGTATTGAATAAATAGGAAAACCAATAACCAATAATTGATATTTAAACTACTCAGACGTTTTTTATTGTAACGCCTGGCAACTATTCAAACTACTAAAATGGACAAAATGAAGTGCAAACATATAACTTAAAAGAAATTATTAAGTTTCAAAAGGAAAGTATCAGATTTTGAAGATTAATGTAAATGGATTTTGTTGATACTTAGCCTAACTACATACCATGAGATGGTTGGATATTTTGATCAATTTATTTATTTAAACAGTCTATATTACCCATCGCCTCATGAAGTAGTGTAGTATGATCTACTTATATCCATATAAGTAGTATATGATGATGGTCAGACATAGAATATATTTTGGCAGATAATCGATAAGGAAAGAACAGGAATGGAGTGCAATCGGTACGAAAATGCATGAAAAATGAAATCAGAGAAGACGGACTGATATTTGTAGGAGGAACAGTTAAGATTGATTTAACCGGTTGTTATTTTGCAAATTAACTGTTTACTGTATGATTATCAGAATTTAGTGAGATAGTCTGTAATTTTTGCTTAAATACATTCGATTGTCCCAACCAGTGTTCTGTTCACTACAGTAATAGTTAGCTAGATAATTACAAACTTAACACGTGATATAAGCCAAAATAGATCACTTTTAAATAAAAATCAAAAGGTAAATATATTGCTCAATAAGTCTGACACTCCTTTCAACTAAGATACGACTATTGGAGTTTTGTTCAGTTAGTAGAACTACAGAATGAGAAAAGATTGTGAGAAATATATTATACTAGATAAAAAATGGATAAGAGTAAAATTTCACAGAGTGAGATTATTAGGACATATCAATGATAGTCATCCTACCTGAAGAAGGTACACTGACTAATGTGAAAGTAGTTTGGAGGACTGACAATATCAGTGTTTAGATGTGGTATCACTACATAATACCATTGACTAGTGGCCTTAACCTCCGTAAAAAGTACAAGTCCTATGTTTGGTTTTCTCAAGTTCTTTCAAATTCGTTGTTGAATAACCTAGGTGACGTTATTCGAAACCGACGACAGCGATACAAGCACACTCGACTTCCATCATCTATATCTGAAGAGTCTAATATCATAAACCAAATTTAATTCTGTCTGCCTATATCCTTTCCACTAGCCGATAAAACTTTGCTTTACTGTGCTGTCACAAATTGAACTGCCACTTAATTATATGACATCTTGAAATTATTGTTATAGGGATAATGACATATATATTTGTAGCTCAAGATAAGGATCTTGGAGGTGTGTTATCCTCAGAGCTGGATGATTCCGGTGAGAAGTTTTTATCATCTTTCAGAACAACATTGGCACCAAATACTTCGAAAATAAGTCTTTGACCAAACCATCCAACGCAGGGAACACAACAACTGTAAAAACACCTGTTTCTCTACTTATAATCATATGAATAATTTATCGGCTTACTACTAACCAGTGTATCTTAATTAATAAGATAGCTAATGGATTTCTTTGTGTACCATCAGTTCAAAATATCAATAAAGATAGTAGAAACCTTTTGAAATCATTACAATACGACATAGTCCATAAAACATACAATACTATTAACATCACAGAATAATTTCAAGACTAAGAATTCATTCAACTTTATATAATATCAAACAGAAAACTCCTTTTAAAAATGAATATTCCACACTAGGCAGACACACGCGTACACCTCATAAATTAATGTTCATAATGATAGTAGTTAAAATACCATAATCATACTGTGATGTTGGCTACTTATATCCTCAAAAGTAGTATAAGATGATAGTCAGACAGAATGTATTTTGGCAGAAGATCGATAAGGCAAGAACAGGAACGAAGCGCAATCGGTATGAAAATGCATAAACAATGGAATTAGAGAAGATGCATTGATATTTACAGAAGGAACAGTCAAGACTCAGACAATTGATTGTTAATTTGCAAATTAACTGTTCACTACCGTATGGTTATCAGAATTTAGTGAGATATTCTGTAATTTTGGGCTTAACTACATTCGATTGTCCCCAACTAATGTTTGATTCACTACAATACTACTTACTAAGAGGAAAAAAGTAGTATATCATTCATCAACGACAATATATATTGAAAATATCGAGAGATAAAAAAATATGAACTAAATTAAATAAGGATTCACGTTACTTGTTTATCTGTTGTTGCTGTTGTTTCACTTCATCAAGAACATTTTAATTGAAGGTATATAATGGTTTGATGGAACTATATTAAGGTTATAATACATGACCAGTTAAGATGTGACATATACGTGTAAAAGTTCAATAAACGGGAATAATAAATAAGTTCACAGATGAATTTCATTCCAAGTATAATAATAATAATAATAATAGTAATAGTAATAATAGTAATAATAATAATAGCAATGGTAATAATAGTAATAGTAATGGTAATAATAGTAACAGTAATAATAGTAATAGTAATGGTAATAATAGTAATAATAATGATAATAGTAATGATGGTTTTAAATTTAGGACATTAAATAATAATATTAATAATAAATAAAGTATGAGAATATGAATAGAAAACTAATCAAAAAATTCATATCCTTGAAATGTTACCAATGACATATATACATATACATATTTGTATCTAAGGTATGTGTATATACATCTAATTTAAATAATAAACAAAGATAACTGAATTATTATCAAGTTGAAAATAAGTGTAAAACTGAAATCAACTGATGAAAAATTGAAAAATAATTAGATGGATAGGATTTATGAAAATTTTAGTAGTAGGTGCAGGGTTTTTAGGGAATGATGATGGTAAATCAGTTGATGAGGTTGTGAATCTTCAATGATTGAGATGGTTGGGCCCATGTGTTACGTATACCTGAACACTGATTATCACAACGCGTTATGCTGACTGGTGTTGACGATGGTTGGAAGAGAGTAGCATCAGTGCTTGAAGTCATTAACTTCTAGTCTGAGTCATGTTGGTAGATGTAGACTACTTGGTTGGGGTCCGTGTGACTATCGTGATCAATGGTTGGAGACTGTGTGTGACATGGCTCAGAATCGATCACAATGGCGTAGATGTATACACTCTTTATTTTCCCTTAAACCTTGTGATTAAAATTGCTTCATATCTTTCTTCCTGTACTGTATCCTTATATACAACCTTTCTTTATATATTACCACCACTAAATTAACTACTTCTATGAATCCGGTGTTCATCTTGTTGTGCTAACGAGGTATGGCAACTTGGACCGATGCATATGTATGCCTGGTCCTACGTTGTAGCTTATTGACTGACTGAGTGGTAGAAAACTGAAACTTATTAATTCATTCATAATTTAGCATTGAGTTAAATCAATTCTAATTCAATGAATGATTGATTATCATTATGTTTAGAGTGAAATCCAAGGTATTAAGTTAGAGTTTATCAGTATATACCAGTCATCTCATATAAAACTAGAATGAGTCTTCAGTTGTTTTTAGAAGATAGGAATTATTATCAAAATAATCGAATTACTATAAACTACTTAATGAAATAATTCCTTATAGCTTTAATGAGAAAGAATGAAAGGCGATTCAGACAGTTAACAAATTAAAAACGTAGATTTTTTTGGTTTATTCAGTTGTGAATTTGTTCAAAGTATTTTTGGACACTTCTCAAAAAACAACTCACTTTCCTTTTTTTATTTGGTTAATTAATTGTCGAATTAAATGACTTTTATGTGGGCCTCTCGAGCCCAAAAGTTACTTCTAAACAAATAAATACTTTGTTCTCTGCATACAAATCTAACTTTCAAAGTGAAGCTTCTTTCATATTTCCACCCTCTGTTCCCACGTTTAGTGATCAAATGTTGAGCGTTGTAGGAAAATAGGAATTTATTATTATCTATTATTATTTATTGTACAGTAACTATTCAGTAAAGAATTTCAAACCGATTACACAGTCTATTTTTGTGGCTGGATAACATGTGACACATAGTGGAATCAACTCGCAGTTTATTATATGAATATGTACCGCCGATTCCACTTATTCATAAGTATAAGACCAGATGGAATTTAGTCCAATAAACCATTCACATTGTATACATTATTTTATTAATAAAAGTAAAAATTCTTAATAATCTCCAAACGAGCGTTAAAATATTTCACTCAGGAAATGAATTTTAGTCAGAACGTAGGACTTTATATTTATATTTAAACACATAAATATTGGTACAAGGAAGAACCAGATAAATACGCACCGCACAAATCTCATTTGCTTTGTGTGAGGGCTGGGATACTGACCAGGTGCCCAAACCGAAGCAAGTGGTTTTCTTAGGGGGCTACACCCCGAGCCTTTGACCGAAATGTCTGATCCACAAGGCAGTGGAGCATCGTAAGGAGATGCAATCCCATGGTAGCCGGTGACCAAAAATTGGTTCATACGCCATTTGTTTCCTCAGGATACTGGAGCTAGGCCATGTGCACCATTGGTTTGGAATGAGGGTTTTCCAGCTCCCCTAGGTGAACTTTCCATGTCCATCAAACACGGTTAGAGCGCCGGACATTCGCTTTTCGTCCTCTCGATTTCGTAAACAACAGTAATGCCACGAGAAGGCAGTGAAATAGGAACAATAACGTAGGACTAAATTGGGTGAGTGCGAGAGCAAGAAAGGGATTACTGGAATGTCTACCAATAAGGACAAAAACAACATTGATTACGACAAACAAAGTAAAATAACATATTTTGTGTATTTTAACCCAAATATTGATCGAATTTCTTCGTAACGATTTGTTTTTTTTTAAATTTCCAATAGAGGTTTTCATAGAAATAATCAATAACATACTCACTAGTGACTTCGTGTAAAGATTAATCAAAACAAAAGTTTTTTTTATTTATTCAGTCAGCCAGTCAGTCAGTTACAACGTAGAACTTCGTACGTACGTACATCAGCTTGAGTTGACATATCACATTAGCACAGAGATGCAGTTGTCGATTCATATCGTATAGTGGTAAAAATAGTAAGAGTATAAGCAGTAATTGGAAAGATTAGGATTTGAAGATGTTATTTATCAGTTCTATGAAGACTAACTAAATTGACGACTTCAATTTTAACAACTCCATATCAAGAAAATATTAATGATCCTATCAGACGCTACGAAAAATGTTATAAATTGATTAACTCAAATAAGTGTAAAGTGAGTTGGAACTGTTATTGAAATGCCGAGAAAATATTGAAAGAAGTAGATAATTTAGCACAGTCATGGTAATAAATCCATTTTAACTAAAACAATAACAATATGATAAAATTAAATAAAAACAAGAAATCCAGATCACACACAGAAATATGAATATAAACAAAAGTAAGCACTGTTTTCTGATTGTCCGATAGGTTGCTCAAGGTTGTCAATGTACTATAATTTGATCGCATTATTGTCACACACCTATGCGGCTCATACTTATTTTGGGAAAATGAACTATCCTGATCCTTCTGTTCATTTTATCACTCACATATATGACCTTGAGATGGTTTGTGATAGTGTGCATGTACTTATAAGTTTAGTCGTATCTTTCATATTCATAAATGCTGAGTCATGTTTTGATTAAATTAAGTTGGTACGCCTGCTTTCTCTGCTTTACGTCTCTCATTGTTTGTCCGCATTAAAGAATGCCTGAAATAAGTCTTACCAACTTGATTCGTATTCGACATTCTGTTACCACCGTCGCCGAAATGGGATTAGCCTAAGTAAAATATACGAAATCAAACCTAGAAATTATATTTATGTTTCACTCATTGCTCATTCCTTCATCGTTTCCGATGGAGTCAATACGTTTCCAAAAATACTTAAGATATCAGTTTAAGGAAACAAGAATAATAATGGTAGGACCATAGCATACCAACGACCTTTATAAAATTTAAGGCTAACTTTGGCGCTGACAAACCAGAAAATAGCCACTCAAAACACAGCTTTTGTGAGAGAGCTCTAAAACACAGAGGACTGAGAATTTTATCAAGATTAATGAACACCTTAGGGCTAACTATCAATAGATCAGGTCAGAAACCATAGCACCGTAGTCCCGATAACGCTAACTTCATAACTTAATAGTTCTAAAACCTAACTATTAACCCTAACACACTGACATTAATGGTTTATTCCAAGAGAAAACTTCATCAAATGCTTCCAAAATACGACTATCAAAATCATCTTTTCCAGTAACAAGCTGTCTAAAAATACGTGTTCAATTAGCGCTAATATTTCGAATACGTTAGCTTGGTTTTGATTGGTCGCTTGAAGCCGTCGGTATGGTATTTTTTCCATAATAATAATAATAATAATAATAATAATAATAATAATACATGTACATATGTGCTAGTATAATGTTTCTTTGAACTCATATACTTACGATTAGTTCCAATATCATGATAAGTGATAATTGCAGTTTTATTCTTATTAGGTTGAACGTAAACCCGTTGGTATAAACCAGAAGAAGTGAGTATCTCATGTTCCTATCGATTGAAAGGTGTTTTTTAAGACATAATAAAAGAAATAAAACAGTTAGTAAACTAATTTACAAAAGATATTATTCGAAAGAAAAAAATGTGATCTTGGTTCTTAGATTTTATATACATAACTCTGATGAGTAACTCAATCCCTAAAAAGATCTACATATCTGACCTGCCCATCTGGTCGTTTACGAATTTATTTGAACCTGTACGTTAGTGATTGGAACACTGAATGGTTAATCACTTGCATCATAAATTTACAATGAAGATGTGGTCAGGTGATAAGATGTGCTGAGAAAGTTATTAAGGAAACTTAATTTCCAACTTATTACGAATACTTTAATTCCGCAAGCTATTAAGCATAGTATACAGTAAAGCCCCAGCTAAAATCAATCACTGTTGTAATTCACATGAAACTTAACATAAATGTGAATTGATCTAAGTTGTTACACCATATCAGCAAACTAAGACGAAAGAAACACGATACACGGTAAAGAAGTTGAAGTAATGACACTGTCCATGGTTGTGATGAAGGCTAAATCGAATATATATCACTCAACAAGAAGGAATAATTTCGTGGAGTGAAAAGTATGAAATTATATTGAAACTCGAGGTATAGGAAAAAACAGAAGAATGAATGCAGTCACGCTACTATGACCGATATTGAGTCATGTCACAGGTCTTTCACTGTTAATCACGATTCTCGTATAGAACTTAACCAGACAGACACGGCTCAACCAAATATTTCAATATGATGATTAAAATTGACGGGCGAAGTTCTACATTGTGACTGACTGACTGAAAATTGACAGGCTAATGTTATTATTTTGCTTTGATTATGCGCACCTTATTCAAACTGTATTACGAAAACCAGCACTGCAGGTTGAGGTCGGCTAACACCACTAACTATTAATCACAGAAAGTTTTGGAACGATGCTGAGCCTAAAATCTGCAATCATACCGAAACTTGGAATTTAAAGGAAGACAAAGAATGAGAGGGCATAACGGTTAGCATAACAAGCTACTATGCGGTCAGTAACACTATCATGTTGGAAATCAGCCTCTATAAGCGAAACCACGCTTCTATGCTATTTAGCCGGAATGAAATGATTTGCAATGGGAAAGACGTGAAAGCAATGCGTCTAATAAGTCTATACGCATGTTTGATCATGATATAATCTTTAAAAAAGCCTATTTCATATTATGACAATGAAAATTTGTGCAGTCACAAATATATATATAAACGGCCAAATTTAACGCACCTCTAGATTAGTAAGGGTTCGAAGGGCACAAAAAGAATTCTGTTTGCTATCCCCTTTCTCGTGAGATTGTAGTTCAATGCCATGGAAATTCACGGCAGGGCAATCCATGTTCATATGTGGGCTATGAAGATAAAAGAAAATAAATAAGCTATTTCACCAAGCAAACCTCATGTTATTTTCTCGGGTCGAACAACAAAATGTTGCATCAAAAATCTTCAGATAATAGGAAGTATTGATAGGAATCTTCCAGCATTATCTGGATTGGTTACAAGGTGTATATGTGATTTAATACAGGTTTGATAGGATGCCTAACTGGGACCAGTGGAATTGTGACTCAGTTTGCCAATGTAAATGACTCCCTTTAACATGTATTACGAAAAGAGCTTACTGTTAATTGCTGTAAAACACTAACAAACCACTTCGACTACCTGTATAAACCTGATGAAAACTCTGAAATCACTGAACACGGTGTGTAATAAGGAACAACAGAATAATTCCGATGACTCTCAAACCTGTAAATTAGACTACAGTATAAATTTAGTTCGTGCAAATCCGTACACACCAACACCAAAACAGGCAGTGCTTAATTTACAAGGTGGATTGTAGTGAGACAGAACTTGGCAAGACAGTAAGAAGTTAGATGTTGAGCTTGTACAAATCTGAGGACACAGTATAACCATTTGCGTCGAGAATCATGATAAACAATGAAATAGTGTGAAACAGGAGCTCTACGAATGACGGGACAACAAAGTGTGTATGCATACAATTTTTACAACGCTCTTGATTAAACCTGGTAGCCCCAGCTATTAAGATGAATGTGTTAAGGAGGAGCCCTCAAATGCCCTGGTAAGGAGAGTCAGCTCTCCCTCTCAAAATGCTCTCCCATGGTCACGTGCGTGCAACTACTGTCAGGAAAGTCCTAATCACTGCCTTTTCGCGGCTGGACTATTGTTTAAAAAATTCGGAAAACGAAAAGCGAATATCCGGCGCTTTGCCCAGGTTCGTGGACACGAGGGTTCACCTAGGTGGGTCAGAAAACCCTGATTCCAAACCACCGGTGAACATATACTCAAGTATACTGAAGGAACAGATGGCGTATGATCCAATCGTTGGTCACCAGCAACTATTGGACTGCATCTCCTGACGTTAATTCACTGCCTTGTGGATTAGACATTTAGGTCAAAGGCTTAGGGAGTGCCCCCCCTTAGAAAACCACCTGCTTCGGTTTGGGCAGCCAGGCAGTACCCCAGCCCTCCCATAAATCGAATGATTTATGTCGCGCATACCTATTTAGTGCCTCCTTGTACTGATGTTTATTTGTTTAAAATAAATTATGGAGGTGTGTAAGTTCTATATAAGCCTGTTTAAAGCCAGAAACTGAACCCATAGTTCAGTACACGTTGCTTCATTCGGATTTAAATGCCTTATTACTGATTATTATTACAACTTAATTACTACAATTGTTGTGGTTTATCAACAAAGTATACGAAGCAAATCAACATAATGTGCGTAATTAACAAAACGAAACAATATTTGTCTATAAAATGTTTAAAATGACTCCCAACACTAATTTTCCTTTGAAATAATACCACCTAAAATATTCATAAGGGATGAATATGTAACGGCTAGGTGATAATAAGGAAAGACCAAACATACCGTCGAATTGATAAAAGGCGGTGTGAGAAAACACAGAGTTTAACCTTGACGTTAGTTCACAAAAACAAATACGTCAAAGAAACAGAGTTCATACTTATCACTTTTATCACTGACGTCTGCAATGAGTCTGTAATTACTTTTTCAAGATGATAAGCCTCGTAAGTCTTCGACATAGAATACGAGCATGTTAGTTTTACTAGACACTGCAGCTGTAAATAATTCCCCAAAATCAATAGCTTTCTAAGTGTTCGACATTGGATGCTGACCACAATGTTTAAGTGGACTTATTTAACTGAAGGCATTCGGTCATGCATCCGTACCAGATTACGTTTCAACTCGTCGTGGGACACTGCTCCTACGTTCATTAGCCAGCTTAGAATAAAGGTTCCTCTATATATTGATAACGTATCAAATATATCTTTCCTACCTCTTCTCGTCTGACTTCTGATTTCTATTTGGCCAAAAGGGTTTCCATTATAGAAGGTGCTACTGGCCTCTAATTGTCAAATTAGAACACCAGTCGTATCCTCAACACCATTGTCTGAATACTCTTAGTAGTAGTAATTTTTTGGTTATCTAAAGCATTCTGAACACTCCTAAGTATTCCTTAAAATACTAACTCAAACCCAGCTTCAAAAAAAACTTAGGGACAATATTGGGAAAGCAAACTGGACGGTAAGAACACCTTCAAAGCTCACTGGTAGTCAAACCCTGTAATTCAATGTCGTCTTATGGGGTTCAATTGACTTACCAGGAATCCTTCAATGGAAAATTTGATATGCTCTGAAGATCTCCGTGCAGGATTTTTTAGGGTCAGTGAAATGTCACTAAGCCCTAGCCAAATTACCGAACATGCAGGTCTCTGAATTTCGAAATGTTCGTTTGAACGTAATCAATATCAAGAGCAAGGAAAGTTCATTTGATCAATAGAGCCATTGACTAATCCATGTGAGTAGTCACATTCTGTTTCGTCAACCTATTCTTACCGATAAATTTCTTTAGAAACGTCATGTTCATTCCATATAACCATCAAATTAGCCATTGTACCTGTAAACTACGAAAGGATGTTCCATTCTAAGTATTAACCTTGAGGAATAACTTCAATATAAACTAGGTCACATCATTCCTATCATACTAGGGTAAACCATGAATAATCAAAAAAGATCACCTGCATTGATCTACAATTTCACTGTAATTTACTATTATTGCTATTTTGCTTGTTAAATGTAGCTAGGTCCATATTTGAGTATATCAGTGGTTCACTGGTACTAATAACAAAATCCAGTTAAGCGAGAGATTCTCTTTCGTCCACAACCATTCAAACTTAAGTCTATTCATCAGAAGTGCTCATATTCTCATTTATGATTATTATTGTTATTATGATCATGATTGGTACCTGGACACATTATATATTGTTTTATCCCTTGTTTTGCTTCTGAGCATATTTTATTCCTAAAGATACAAAGTTTATAACTAAAATTATTATCTTAAGGTACACTTAGATTAACTTCTCGATTTCATTTATCTTCATCACGTTTATAACATATATAAATTTTTATTTGATTCTCCTTTGTAATTAATTGTGACTTTCATAGCATCATTCCAAATTATCATTTCACAAACGTTTATGCTAATATCAAGTTTTACTCTGTGCCCTATTACGTAAATTTACATGTGTTCACAAGAGTGCCCTAAAAAATAAAAAAATTCACGATTTACTTCGTAGGTCTCTATACATTACACTCTTATTATCATGGTTGAACCCAATCACTGGTTGTTGACTTCTTTTCTGTATCACTCTTTTTCTTCTGAATAAATATTGTTCTTAAGTATCTGGAGTTTCTAATCAGGACTATATCTTGTTACATTTAACTGAATTAGTTTCTCAGATTCATTTTATCTTCACTACGTGTATATAATCCATACATACTGATATTTGGTTATCCTTTACAATTAGTTTTAACTTTCATTACATCACTTCATACCATTACTGCAAAAAACACTTATTCTATCGTCACATCTTACTACAATAATAAGTTATTTTCTTATTTTTTCATTTGTTTATTTATCTTCTCTTGTTATTCACTTGTCGATACATACATAATCGTTTATTTTTGTTCTGTGCTCACAAACACGCCTATTAGACTATTTGCGTATTTCGCATTTCCTTTATTTCTATTTCTTTATTTTCACGCTTTCTTTCTTTAAAGTCAACTTAATATTCTTCTCAGTTACATAGAACATTTTCTTGATGTGGGAATTATTATATTAGTATTTTTGAAACTTTGATATTGTTTTATTTCTGAAGAAACCCGAACTGGTTTCTTCACAACACTCATGTACGCATAAGCTGTTTGTGAATAACAATAAGAGATATAATATTTGTTTGCCTTCTCATTTCATGTAGACGTCATATTTTCCTTTTTCTGACATTGATGGGATATTGATTTCTTTAGTTAGCAGCCTCTCGCTACGCTTACTCTCCATATTGTGCAGAAAGCAATTAATCAAAACTTTTTGAGTTGTCTGAATAACAATATAACAAGGGTTAAACATGCGTCAAACGCTTTCATCTTAAACCCAAAGCTATTGCAACCATCAGACTCATATTTACTCTTCGTTCAATCGATGAAAAAATGGCTTCAACTCGGATTTATTATACTTAATTATTACTATGAGGCCAAAATTCTATGGGGCCAGAATCTTGTCGTCAGCACAGGCCTTTTAACATTTATCGTAAAATAATAGAAAATATAATGCCCGCACAGAATAAGTCAGTAAATAAATACTTTAACTATGTTTCAATCCTACAAGGGAAGCGTCAAACTCCTAAACACCTGACTTAGGTTGTTACATCAGCCCGCCCATCTAATCAAGTTCTGCTTGAATTCTTATTCGATTAATATGTAAAGAAACATCCAAGATCAACATCTGGACAAAATGATACTGCCTACTAGGGAACTGCAGTAACGTTTTTAGTATTTGACTTAGGTATATTGGAAACAAATAACGAAAATCGGTCACACAAAATTGAGAAATAACTGATGAATATCAAATGATTTAATAGGATGTTATCTTTTCAGTGTGGAAATTAGATTCTCACAACAAATATTCTAGCCCGGAGTGTTTTATGTATCCCCAATATGAGAATAAGGGTCAGTGAGGGAGAGAAAGATAAAAGGAAACAAGAATAAATATGGAAGTGCCGCTAAAGGATTTATTAAGTTCAAGCCGTCGTCGATACTAATGCATTTATCTTTGCCACTAGGATAATAGATCCAATCCAAAATTATATACATGCCAATGTGTGACTACTTAATCTACAAGATATCATATGGAAGTCATTTCTGATGAACACATTCAATATGAAAGGGAAGAAGATACACAAATTAACCAAAAGGCATGACAAAGGGATGCCGAACAGAAAAAGTGTTGAAAAACTGACCACTTTCGAAATTCAAGTGCAAAATTTAAAAAAAATCTCTTCACAATTAATAGGCTCGTCTTGAAGGATAGTGTGGTTGAGCACCAATACCAGTGCACTACTTCTCAAACGCGAAATTCTATATATGATAATGTTCTTCAATATCTTGGGTAATTTCGGGGAAAATCCCCGAGTGTTGTAAAACTCTGGGGGAAAGCCGAAACATTTTGGGGATTCTATACAGACCTGGCAGAAGTTTTGGGGTCTTTGTGCCATTTCCCCAAAGTTCTCTTTAGCGGTTTCCCTAAAACACTTAAACAGGACAAATTTTTCCCCAAAATAGGGATATTGGGTGATTGTTTATTAAATTCGATGATGCGTTAGCTGAAAACTTCTGATTTAAATTTATAAAGTGACCAACAATCGGTAGAAT